TGGTGCTAGGTTGGCTACTCATTTTAAATTGCTTTGTAGCTGATGCCAGATTCATGCAGTGTAGCTAAGTTAGTTATAGTTAACCAGCTATCCTTTAGCTTTCTTGCTAACATTACTGTCATATTCTTCTTTGTGTGGTGTTGTATAGCGTTTTGATAAGGTACCGTCTCAAATCGATCATTCCCAGTCAGTCCATTGGCAGAAATGATCTTTGAATATGACTGTGATCGCTGCATTGTATGGACACTCATGAGGATAAATTCTTGTACAGTTACGATGACAATTTAGCAGTAAACACCACTTAGCAAGCTAGCTAGTCCAGCTATCTCCTGCTCAGACTGTGAGTCTGAGTTTCAGAAGAGCATTGTTGGGTGGTCCATCTCTTTTTTTACAAAGCCAGTGTGGCTACCGTTTATTGCGAGAAGTGTCACACGTTTCAAATTCAATTTTTTCATTGTTATGGGTGTGGGCCTGCTGACTTTCACTTTCAGCTCTCACAATGCCAGGACATTACAGAAGACACTGCGTGTTTTATTATGTTCAAATACTAAGCACTACTGTTTGAGTGAAAACTACTGTTAACTAAATCAGTGAAGAATAAAGGGGATTCAGAGCATCGCACTTTACGGGGAATCACAAAAACAAACAAACACATTCCTACCGAGCATCTAACACAGGAATAATCAAAGGTGAGATCTGGTCTCCGTTTTATTTATATAACACCAATTTTGTTAGGTAAAAAAAGGGTTTGACACATAGGTGCTGAGTGTTAGTGCAAGTTCAATCAGTTGATTGAGTTCAAGACAAAATTGAGTAGCACTTCAAGTTAAGCTCGTATAGCTAACATTAACTTTCTACAGTACTTGAAAAGAGTGATTAACGTCAAGGGAAGTTAACTATAGCCACGCTGCATGTGTCTGGCATTTTAGCTTTGATGTTATTCTGCTCTCACAGTAATACGATGGGCTTGTAGCTGCAGTAGATGATATACAGTTCATACAATAGTGCAACAGAACAGTGAAGGACAGGTTTTGACCGATGCCACAAACAGAAGCTATAGCATGCTAAATACACTTCATGGTTTTCTAGATTTTACTCACTAAAAAAAACTTTCTTTTTGTTTTTGGATTGTCTTACTTCTATTAGCCCCTCAGATCATAATAGTAAGATGGTGGTTGGTTGGTGTACTTTCCTGTAAATCAGCTGAGCCATATATAGTATTTGCAGGAGCGATGGTGTACTTGTGTATCTAAGATCCAACAATACTGGAAATTCACCAAATAAATGTGCATTAGGATACTCGTGATGACGTGTGGTTACTGGGACAGTCTTCAGATTCCTTTTTAAAATGTTCACTCTTATTTTAAAGTTGCTTTAAAAAAAGAAAAGAAAAAAAAAACAAGCAATAATGAAATATTAGCCATGTTGCATCGAATTAAACCACAACAAATTCGAGGCAGTCATGTTCCCAGGTGTTGGATAACGCCGTTTTGTCAGATGCCGCATCTGTGTCTTTCATTTGGCAGAATTGGTCACCAAGAAATAAACCAACCCAGCTTAAAGACCTATAGAGCCCAACAGAAGAGGTGCCAGATTACAGGTTTATTAACCAGC